GCGACAATATACGATCACATTTCAATGTGAGCGTATAAAAATCGAGACAACGCTATATGGCGCGGTAGTTAGTGTTCAAAACTTAAATAATAAGTAACTAACACGACGGATCATCTATCTCATCATAACTACAGCACGCTCTAGTTATTCTCCGAAGCAGAACGGGTAACCATCTCTATTTTTTCGCACGCCTGGTTGAGGGGCGTACATATCAATTTTGTTTTGACGGGTGTTTAGCAAATATGAGACCGACTGATGGACAGGCGATTAGATCTATTTGATAAGGTCAACTTTAAGTTTGGTTAAAGGTCAGGAGATGTAAACAGGGCTAGCGCTAATCCGAACTCTAGACCTAGGCCAAACGCTTACCCAATCCTACAACCTGGCCAACAATAACGTGCACCGGGCCCGTAGCCAGCTCTTAAAATTTGGTGGGGCTACGGAATTTTTTGGAGGGGCTGAGGATGTGGCCGGCTAAGAACGCTCCTAAGAAATCATTATTGTTGGCAAAATATTTGGGGGGCTACGGGCCCGACGTGCCCTATCCTTATTTACATATCAGCGACCTTGACAACAATTGAGTTGGCCTTAAGAAATAGATCTAGCAATGAACGGACCCCTGATACTAGTGACGCAGCAACGAGCCGGGCACCATAGGGGCGAGCTATCAAGGGGGCCCGGGGGCATACTGCCCCGGAGAAATTTGGATCTAGTGTCCCTACATCATTTACACGGACCTATATCTTCGATATATTATTTTTGTGGTGAATATTCATAAATTAGCAAAGATATGACTATGTCCTCATATTTTCATCAAGCATCCGCGCTTAGTAGTAAAGTTTGCCAGTGATCAGCGATTTTGTCAAGATCGATCGTGTCCGTCAGGTCAAGCTCACACGCAAGAGTCAATAGTTCATTGAAGAGTTTTCGTTAATGAACGCATAACAGTTTTTACTAATTTGAGCTTTGAAAAACTGGCGCGTATCGTGATATTTTAGAGGTGTAAATTATCTCTTCGGATATAACAGACTTCGAATGATTCTTCAATTCTTTAATATACCGGAACATAAATATACATATCGTCATACAGTACTGACAGGCCAGTTACTGCACTTAGTAAGGGATCCTAACTAGTGACTGCCTTCAATGTACAAATTTTGTAATTTTTAAGGAAAATCAGATAAAAAGATAAAATTAAATGTTGTAATTAAAACTGACATGTCGATAGATGAACAATGCATAAAAGATTAAACAATATAATAAATCAACAAAAACAATAGATGGGATTAACGTCGTTACAAATGACGGCTTGAAAAGTGGTGACAGTTTAACGACTTACTAGGAAGTTTACCTTAAAGTGGTTAATTTAAGAAGCATTAATTATATTAGCGATAGCAGATTATCACACCATTATAATATCCAATCAAAGCAACGAAACGTTTACACATGGGATTTTCCCTTTTATTTCGACATTATTTGTTTACATCATTAATTCATTTAGTCGCCGATGCATAATTTTGTGACCGATTGTACTTGTTTTGAGACCGACTAATTCTTTTGCTAGCTTTTGGTTGGCAAGTTTTTCTCTGCAGCATATGTTATAAACTGATCAAGATATCTTTATGAAAATTTGTACACACACCTACCTATTAGACATATAATAGTTGTGCCTTTTGCGTATTAGAAACTTCTCGGATTTAATCATTTTTGGGTCTCCATCAATACAAAGTTCTCGGATTTAATCATTTTTGTGTCTCCACCAATACAAATTTGACTTGGGTTTTGGTATACAGTTGTAATTTCGACGCTCATCTCATAAACCATTCAAGATTTCTTTATGAAATTTTTACATTGAGATTTTAGTACACTACTATATATTATTCAAGAAAATATCCCATAGTTTAAGATATCACCAAGAAATTGTGTATACACATATCAACCCATTCTCGGTTGGATATTTATGTTGGACGTTAAGTTAAACCCCATTTCATTTCATTTCAATTGAATGCCTTTGAAAAGCTTGGTGCATTTTGTTCAAATTTGGGTCATATTTATTGGGTGGAAACATAGCCGAGGATCTATATCTACCGCTTATTAGAAATGGTTCCACTACTGATGTCTTCCGTCTTGCTCTAGCCACAGTAAAGGACCGTCCTAAGGCCTTCCTTTGAGCAAGTTTTGTAGTCATTTGACTACAAAAAAGTTACTGGCCTACAACTCCCTACAACGGTAAATCTCTTTGATCGGGGGCGGCATTGGATATATACAGGGGAATTTGGGGTTATTCTTTTGAAAGTTTTTCTTTAAACCTGTAACAGCTTATTCTTCCAGGTTAGGATTTTTTTTTTCATAAGAAAACATGATCTGAGGTTTTTCTTATGGGAATTCTGGGATATTCTCATTTTGCGTACATGTAAACATAGACGGTTTATAAGCAAGATAAAGTCCTCGACTTCGGTTATTTTTTTTCAGTCTTTCTTTCCCTAGCATAACCTCAGTCTCGTGGATTATGTGATGGATAATGGCCGAAGACTGTCCATAATATAAATAGAAAGAACATCTGAGGGGCGTTAGCCCCGAAGTTTTTCTTAGTACATGTATTTACATAATGGACAGTCTGAGGCTATTTTCAAACTTAAAACATAGCACCATAGAGATACAAATAATGGATAGTTTTCTAAAAGAACAAGCCACAAAATAATGGATATATTCTTAAAACAACATGAACATGCTCGTGAATGCATGTGACAAAACACTCCAATCATACAATGCAAGCATACACAGACAGTCAAAAATATTCGATATGGAGACGACATGATTATAACACAGTCGAAAACAAATATTAATAATGAGAATATATGTGATAAGCATTTGGATACTGATTACATTTAGTAATGTTTATACTCGATGTGGAAGGTAATAGCCGTAAAAATTGTGATGTTCTTCATATGTCTGCGATATCACCTCGGTGGAAGCGGACGTAAAATACAACTAACTAACAACTAACAACATATGGGGATAATAGCCGCCAAAGTTGTGATGGAAAGGCTGCTCACGAAATGATTGAAATTTAATATATACTCTGTCAAATAACACACTATTTATGGATAACAATTACTGTGGTTTATTTCACTGCGACGTTTCAACAAGATTTCACAAGTCGTTTTTTTTTTTTTTTTTTTTTTTTTTTTGTGTTATATGCTTGATAACGACTTGTGAAATCTTGTTGAAACGTCGCAGTGAAATAAACCACAGTAATTGTTATCCATAAATAGTGTGTTATTTGATTATGTTCCAATTACTAAATGCCATTTAAAGAATAATATATACTCTGATATAGGGAAAGTCAATAAGTTCATAGAATTTTAAGTGAGTGTTGATACACACTAGAGGTCACAATTTTTAGGCCATTTTGATGAAACTGAACATGTGTGTTTATAACCCAAAGATCTGATTCCTTGCGATATTGGCACATATCGGGCCGTAAATTCCTGGATTATGACCCCTGATTGAACAAAAAAACGTGTTTTGAGCCTGTGGAACCTATACAGGTCACAATTTTTATCCGATTTTAAAAATCGTTCAAATATATCACCGTTACACCATAATGACAGTTGAGTTCTAATTTCCTGAATTGGTTTGTGCCTTTGATCCTGTGTCACGTCACTTATAACAGAGTATATATTCAATTTCAAATCAAAATTTGGACCGCTAGTAGCCTAACAGTACTAAGAATATTAATAATATCTTAATCATTTTGGTGAGCAGCCTTTCCATCACACTTTGACAGCTATTATCCCCAATATCAAGAACATCACAATTTTACGGCTATTATCTTCCATATTGAGTACATTACCAAATGTAATCCGTATCCAAATGCTTATAACGTATATTCTCATTATTAATATTTGTTTTCGACTGTGTTATGAACATGTCTCCATGTCGAATATTTTGGACTGTCTATGTATGCTTGCATTGTATGACTGGAGTGTTTTGTCACATGCATTCATGAGCATGTGCATGTTGTTTTAAGAACATATCCATTATTTTGTGACTTGTTCTTTTAGAAAATTATCCATTATTTGTATCTCTATGGTGCTATGTTTTAAGTTTGAAAATAGCCTCAGACTGTCCATTATGTAAATACTAAGAAAAACTTCGGGACTAACGCCCCTCAGTTGTTCTTTCTATTTACATAATGGACAGTCTTCGGCCATTATCCATCACATAAATAGTCCCAAAGTACGTAAGACACCTATTCAAAATACAAAAGCCTCAGGATTCTTATCACAGAAAAGTCAATTTTGCAGGTTCCCCAAAAAGCTCATAAGGAACCAAATGATTAATAACCCGCAATAATTACAGGGTACCGGTCAAACGATATAGGGATATAGCCAGTCACACTCAGGTATAATTCATCATGGTGTCTACTTCTTCAACTATTTTGTGGGATGCTTTCTGCTCGACAGTGGTGTGGGATATAGGGTCTGGCAAGGATGTCAACCTCATTTTAATGTCATTTTTACTATTAAGATATGATTTCGTGAGCACTGAATTTCGCATTTAGCTTGTCACTCAGACACTACCTGTAGCGCGATGCATGTCTCCAATCTTTAGTTCTTCAATTTAAAAGACTTGATCCTAACCATAATGCCAAAACCTCATAGCACCAATGATTATCAGATCTCTTTGGTTAAGGGGGACAAGAAACTATGGGGCCCAAATTACACAAACCAAGTGACAGTGAACAATTTTTTTTCTCCACATAAGGCCCATTATAAAATTAAAACATGTACTCCAATAGTTAAAATGCACAGTGATATGTAAAAGTACCATTTTCAAATTAACCATAGTCTGGATTTACCGAAAAGCCAAGCACTGACCCTCTTCAGAGTAGGTCTTGTTTTCCATGGGTTAATTAAATTATCTATCTCATCAACAGATTTGCTCAATTTGGTTTGCTACCAATTGGTGATAGGTAAATATTTATAAGAAATACAGAAGGTAATAACAAACTTTAATATTATTTGTCAAGTATGAATGGTTGTATTTCTAACACATTACAGATAGTATATAACAATGATCCTAAATTAATCTAGAATGGTGATGGAGGGGGGAACATGTATGGAACAATTACAATATAATGTCGACTCATGAGAAACAAATTATCTAGAAAGTTTTTCGTATATAAATATGACATAGGTGTATTTATACAATGATGATTAATTATACACCGGTAACCTTTTTTGGTCAGACAATTTTCTTTTCCTAAATAATATGAAAAATGCTATAAATCTCAGAAATTCAATCTATAGTATGTTGCAATATTTTATATCTCCTAAACTCTCTCTTCAATAATAATAATATCAATATCAACCTCAAACCTTCTTCTTTAATGAGGAATTACACAAAAAATGGTTGGTGATGTACTGTCTGATGTTGGTTTGAAAAAATAACATGTATTAAATACAATAAGTCATACCCTTTACAACAAATCAAAACACATTATTATCATGTACATGTAGTAAGTCGTATCTGTTTTAAAGAACCATGAAGTGATAAGAGTTGCTGCCTCCGCCTTAAATCTTAAATATACTGGTATGGATAATCAAAAGAACATAATTCTAATTTTTGCACAAAAAAAAAGTGCTGCAAAGGAACAGTTTATGCCTATGCCCTAAGATTTTGACTAGGGAGGGAGGGGGGCGGGGTAGCAAGAACATGTTTTGTCTTTTACACTAGAAGCCTTATTTTGAAGTAGTAATTTAGATGTGGATATCTTGGTCATTAATTAATTTACTCATGGGGGGTTGGATGGCTGAATGGTTAGCGTGCGCGCACTGTATCATAAACTCTGTCATTGAGTTGACTGGCGTGGTTTCGAATCCCCGGTTGTACGTGACAAGGAGTAGGGTCGCCTGTCCAACCTCGTGGGTTTTCTCCGGGTCTTCCGGTTTCCTCCCACTGCTAAAGACCCCTATGCGCAAGCGAATTAGAAATAAAATTAAAACCATATGTTAGTCCCGAAATGACCTAGTTTGTGTCGAGTGGACGTTAAACCCCATTTCTCTCTCTCTCTCTCTCTCTCTAATTTACTGATTTCAAATTTTCACAGGCTGCCATTAGAAACCTAGGGACAGTGAAATGAAATGGGGTTTATCGTCTTACTGTTCTGCTTTCACTGGGCTAATGAAGACGGGCATACACCATACAGTGTGCTATGAGGGAAATTTTGCCCAGGCAGCGGCACTATGGCCTACTCTTATATCAAATCCCAACTGCCAAGGGATCTCTATACGTGCACGTCAATGTATACACAGGGCCTTGGTTTTTCGTTCCATCCAAAATACTAGACAGTTGTCCTTGTCAGGCCCTCCATCCTGCATCACTGACAAGGAGGAAACCACATCCGAACATCCAGATGAACTTTCTCGGCCAATGCAGGGATTGAACATGCGACCTCAAGGCTAGCGAGCCAGCATCTTACCCACTTAACCTCTACCTAGGGACAGATTTAAAACATATTTTAGCCAAATGGAATTGATCTTCTACAATCGCCTTGTGTCTCTTTAATACAATAAATGATTTATTTTCTTACACCCTTCAAAAACAACATTTTATAACATAAATTAACCAAATATCATTTTGATTCAATCTTGAATATAAGCAATAAATGCCTTTAGTGATATATTAAATGGGTTAAAAGGTTTGTTATTTACAAAGTGCAACCTTTAATTTATATATTATATACATGTATCTACAGACTTCTATACAAGAGATAAAAAGTTGAACAAACGAAAATAAAACATTTAATGTACACACTTTAATTTACTACACTTATTAAAATGATGCAATATTGTAGCACTTTATTATTCATTTATAATTATTATTATTAATAGTTTTTCTATTATAATTTTTTTTAGGAAAAAGTACATATTCTACACAAATACATGTACTCTACAGTAATTTAAATCAAAAGCCCAATGAATATCTAAAAGTTTAAAAATGTTTAAAGGAAGTGACATCATAGACATATTTTAGACATCAAAGAAAACATTTTATTTTTTCAATCAATTTAAAAAAAGTTTTTCAAGAATTGGTACATGTACTTACTTTATTTTTAAAGATATCAGAATGTTACAAATCGGTAGATTTAACCAAAAATATATTAACAAAACATTTCTGATAATCTCATTTAGGTCAAATAATGTTTCACCATTTTAAAAATAACTACCATTTAATTCCCTTTGTTTCAATAACCAGTCCACACCAACTACCCAGTGACCGCCTGATTAATTTGTGATTTCAAGTTTTAGCATTATAGTAAAGCATAAGTTAATTATACACATATGCAACTATCAAATAAATTTAACAACAGTTTCAGCATTTTGTGCTACAAACTCATTCCAGTAAGAATGCAAAACATGTTTGGCAAAGATTTAAGTTAACCAGGGCAATGATGGGGATGACTCAACATATTTCTTAAAACATTTTTGGATGTAGTATTACAGAATAACTGATTGTCTATACTAGGTGAATGAAAGTTCATCATAATAACGTTATGTTAGTAGTAAACAGACAATTCTGTTTGAATTAACTTTAAAAAATATCACTACCGGTGCATACAGTTTAATCCTGTAAAGAATATGACCTCCGATTCATGTAAACTTTGATTGTTAAAACGCAATCAAGTTCTCACATGGTTTCAAACACAATACTTTTACAAAGTTATATTGCACAGCACATTAAGGCTCAATCCATTTAATAGGTCACAGCAAGTGATTGTCAACACTCTACAGATGGTAAATCACTTTCTCTTATTAGAATTTACAGTTTCAATTGTGTCAGGTGGGAAAATCTTTATGCACAGCACACTTTGATCACTATACTGAAAAAGAAATTAATGTATTTTGCATTAAGTCAATACAAAGGGTAACATAAGTGTACATGTATAGTCTCAGATGTGAAAATCTATTTAAGTTAAGCTCCTTCACAAAAACTGATCATATACAATGCAGTGGTTTTAAAACATCAGAAATTCAAAACTATACCCTGGATTATCAAAATAAATCTCTCTACATGCTGCTCTACCAAGTTTTTAACAGACTGGATAGAGAGAAGATGTGCCCCATATAAAATATTTAGATAAATCGTCTGGATTCGGTTCTGAAGCAATATATATCTAATTGGATTTAATTCTAAACGTGTCAAACTAGTCTACATTAAACAGATTAATCTGTTTATATTTTTTAAACTTTGGGGGATGAGTTGAAAGAGTAAATGGACCTTTCAATGAATGTTTATTTTAATAATATGGGAGTATAATATTCTCCAATATATTATTAAAATGATATATTGGAGAATATTGTACTCCCATATTAATGAATGAAAGCAAGCTGTCTCCAAATCTTATTGACTACATTATTCTTTTCTCATATAAAATTATGTCTTCATTAGCCCAGTCGGATCGGAACAGTAGGACATTAAACCCTATTTCATTTTGTATAAAATTTGAGGACTTAAATTCATTCTTTTTATAAAAAATCATCTTTTAAAAATGCATTATGTAAGATTTAGATAAAGAGCTGGCCGTTCTTGCTATAATAGTTCAATACTACTAGATAATAAAAAATGAATATATTGAAAATTTTAGTAAATTAATTCTGAGCAAAGTTATTGGTGTTTGTAGTTTTCACAATATAGTTTCCATTGTCAAGTACCGGTACTATTGCTACGATAATGAAATCGTGACTAACCATTTTTAAATTAATTAAATGGTGAATGTGTTATTATTCATTAAAATCACAACCATCCGGTGATATGGTTAGTTGAATTTGGGCTTGTCATGTTAATGCATGTCTAATTGATAATTTATTTAACATTTGAAGTCAAAAGAAAGACCTGTAATAGGCAGATTTAGTTCTTACATAATGCATCTTTAATATTGGATATATTCCTTCAAATAAATAAATAAATTGAATATGTAGATCAACTAACCTCTACGCTAAGAAAATTTCAACCTTGTTGTTTCTGCACATTTGACTATTCAGTGCCTTAAGAGCTTTTTCAGACATTTCCTTTGTTGGGAAACCTATAACAGCATTTCCAGTAGGTTTGCCATCTGATGAATAATGTAAACGGATAGATTCAGGTATTGGGTCATACCCGTTGAAGAATTTCAACATCTCCCCAATAGTCACAGTTTCTGGAAAGTTTTTACAACGCAAGTAAAACCAATGTTGTCTTAGAACTCCAGCAGGTATTGATTTTGAGGTGGAGTTGTCTTTTTTAACCTCTTCATTATCTTCTGATTTTTTCAACTGTCCAACCTTTTCATCATACACAGATTTAGTGATTGGTTCCATTTGAATGGTGTTATTGCGAACTTTTCCATTATTTTTTTTCATGGCATCTCTACAATCATCTGAGCTTGAGAACTCCATGAAACCTCCTCCAGTATTGTTCCCTTTACTATCCTTGATAAATCTAATACTTCCTTCAACAAATTTAATCCCCTTAAAGAAATCAATGATATCATTTTCTTTTACACTGCTTGATAAACCTTTAAATGATACACAGGTGGATTTAATACTTTCAGTTTTGGGTTTGCTATCAGATTTAGATTCTTTATTTTGTGAGGCATTCTCAGAAGAAGGCTTTCTGTTTCGATCTGATCTATCCTGCCTATCTGGCCTATCTGGCCTATCTTGTCTATCTGGTTGTCTATCTGGCCTGTCTTGTCTATCTGTTCTCTCTAATCTATCTGGTCTTTCCAATCTATCTGGCCTATCTGGTCTTTCTAATCTGTCTGATCTTTCAGGTCTATTTGGTCTAATATGTTCTTCAGTTCTGATAACTGGTACATTTGTCTTCTCTTTCATACGCTTATGCGCTTCCAACATTGCAGCTAGTTCATCTGGATGACTCCTACCAACTTCAATAGGTCTTGAACCCATCAAGCGCTTGTTCATCTGAAGAGCATTTTGCATGTCTAAACCACTTTCCAGCTCCACAAAGGCTAATCCCAGCATTGCTCCAAATTGATCATAGTCAAAAAAAATAGCATTGCCACTGTCAGCAATTCTGCTATTACCAAAGAAATTCCAAAGGTCACCCTTAACTATATTACCAGGAAGTCCTTTAACATACACCAAAAATCTTTGTTTTGTTTCATCTGGTCTTGGTCTTTTGGATGCTGGGACACTAACATCAGCAGATGTAGCCATATCATATTCATATTTTGTGCATTTCATTATGATAATTTTCCTGTTTTCCATCAAGTTACCGAATTTCATAAGAGCTTGCTGTAAATCTCGCTCAGTTTTAAATCTAACAAAAGCAATTCCAGTGCGCATACCTCTCTCATCAACCACCAATTTTATTCCATCATATTCAATCTCACAACCTTCAAAATGATTACGTATATCTCTGTATTGTGCAGTATATGGCAGATTTTTTAATTGAGCATAAACCTTTTCCTCACCTACAAATGGATCATTTCGTTTTGGAAATCGATTATCACCAGTCATGTCATTTTCTCTCCGACCAATATCTGGTCTACTCGGGTGTAGTTCTGGACCTCTACTACCGTCATCTATGTCTCTTGATTTACCTCGATTATCCCTGTCCACCATTAAAGGTAATGGTGCAGGTCCCATTAGCCCCAATCCATCCTTGTTTGGGAGCACAGCCAATGATGGAGCAGCTTCTCTTTTTGGTACAGGTCCAATAGTTTCTCCATGACTAAATCTTGTGTTTTCTCTAATATACACAGGTTCATCTCTTCCAAACCCTGACCCTTCTCGATTTAAACCAGGATCTTCTCTGCTAAAGCCAATTCTATCTCTTGTCAACCTTTTTCCATCTCTGTTGATGACTGGGTCTTCTCTCAAAGCTGGACCACTTCTGCCAAAACTCTGATCTTCTCTGTTAATTCCACGACCACCCCTGTTAAAATTTGAACCGTCTCTATTAATGCCTGGGATATCTTTGTTAATAATTAGACTATCTCTGTTCATGCCTCGGCCATTTCTATTAAATCCAGGTCCATCTGTGTTTAACCCAGGTCCATCTGTGTTGAATCCAGGTCCATCCCTGTTGAATCCAGGTCCATCCCTGTTGAATCCAGGTCTATCCCTGTTGAATCCAGGACCCTCCCTGATTAAGCCAGGTCCATCCCTTTTAAATCCGGGTCCATCCCTGTTGAAACCAGGTCCATCCCTGTTGAAACCAGGTCCATCCCTGTTGAAACCAGGTCCATCTCTGTTGAAACCAGGTCCATCCCTGTTGAAACCAGGTCCATCCCTGTTGAATCCAGGTCCATCCCGGTTGAATCCAGGTCCATCTCTGGTGAATCCAGGTCCATCTCTGTTGAATCCAGGTCCATCTCTGTTTAACACCGAACCACTTCTATTGGGGGGGTCTCGATTAAAGCCTAAAGCAGTGCGACTACCATCAGATAAATCAGGTGTAAAACCCGAACCATCCCTGTTAGGTCTCTGACCATCCAGATTGAAATTAGGGCCATTTCTGTTAAATCCAGTAGTATTTCTCTCATAACTAGTGGTATCTCTAGGAAATCCTGGATCATTTCTGAAGCTCTCTAAATCACTCCCTGGGAATGGAGGCACAGGTCTTTGTGAACTAGCAATAGTATCACCGAATGGTCCAGGGCCATGCATTTCTCCTGGACCACCTTGGACAAGACCTGGTGGAGCATCTCCTAACAGTCCTTTAGAATTACTTGGTGGCATCTGTTCAAAAACTGATGTTCTTCCACTCCCATTTGATGGTTGCCTGTTGACATCACCAGGAAAACTATCCTTTACGGGTTGATTCCTTGAATCAAAATCTCCTCTCATTCCCCTCTCATTTGAGGATCGAAAATCTGCATCACTTGGCATCCTCTTCCAGGACTGATCTTCAAAAGGCACATTACTTGATGCTGCACCCTGCTTTTGTCTGTAATCTGGATCTCTATCTATAATACCTGGGCTTCCTTGATTTGATCCTTGAAAACGGTCATTAAATCTCCTGTCACCCACAGGACTACTCTCTGGTATTCTACTGAATAATGGATTCATTTGTTCCCCTCGTCTGTCATCAGGAAAGGGGACTGGCAAATCTCTATTCTGGCTAAATCTATCAACTGGTCCCAAATTACCTCGGATATCTGGCATTGGATTTTCTCTTTGGTTTGGATGACCAGGTGACTGTAAATTTCTTTCATTCATTAATCCTGGAGAACCAAATTGGTTTCCTCTAAAAGGTATATTTCTATCTTCGGGTCTGTTTCCTGGTACATTGTCAAAGGGGTTATTTGCTGGCTTATTTGACGTTCCTTCTTTTGAACTGCTGCTTTTCAAATCTTTACTATCAAACCTGTCCTTTTCTCTTGACCTGCGAACATCAGATCTGTCACGTGTTGATCTACCATCTTTATCTCTAGATGACCTATCACTTCTTTCTGATCTGTCATTCCCTCTACTTCTCTCTGATCTGTCAGACCTTTCTGATCTGGATCCTCTACTTCTCTCTCTGTCCCTATCTCTGTCCCTTTCTCTATCTTTATCACGACTACTTCTCTCTCTATCTTCATGTCGTCGGTCAGAATAACTCCTGTCAGAACGCTCAGATTTAGAGGAGCGCTCTTTACTTGAACGTTCTCTGTCTTGATCACGATAAGTGTCCTTCATGTCAGCCGCCTTTGGATAGCCAGGATCTACATCCCCTTGGGGATACTGTTGACTTTGTGGATCAGCATAAATCAACGGATTGGGTTGTGGTATATTGCTATTGGGAAATGGTTGATTTGACTGATCATTTCTAGAAGGCGACATAGAAGAATTTCTATAGTCATTTCGCTGATTAAAATTTTGATTTCCAGGATAAATTTGTCCTTCCATTGGTTGATTTATGTACTCATTTTGAAAATTCCTTTGATCTTGGTAACTGTTTCTTCCTTGATTTGGAAAAGGCGATTGCTGTTGAGCCATATGGGGATCATAAGATTGTTGGTTTTCATATGAAATATTTCCTCTTCCATAAGATCCATCACCAGAAAGATCTTCATATCTACCTGTCGGTTGGTATGGTTCTGGCTTCCCATATTCATTTCTATCAAAATTAGACAGGTTCTCTTGTCTAAACTGGGATTCATCTCTCATTCCAAAATCATTTGGGTCTTGTCTTGGTGCTTGAGCAGCCACTGTTTTTTTTTGAAAATCTTCAGCTGGATCTGGAACATTCTTAGCTTGTTCAATAACACACTGCATTTCAGACTTACTGCTCAGGAACAACTGCATTACACATCCATTAAGAGCCATGAAGTTGAACATCATGGCTTTTCTAGCATCCTCATCCGTTGAAAAGGCTATGAAAGCTTCACCCTTGTTACCACCAATTATGTGTACGCCTCCAGGTGGAATACTTAGTCCTTGGAAAAAATTCCTGATATCTAAGGAGCTGGCTGTCCATGGAAGACCTTGTAATCTTATAATAACGCTCATGATCAGTTACCTGAAAATATAATAAACAACTTTTAAAATAATAGAAGATTATATTATGCTATTAGAAATATTAAAAGGTAGCCATGGAAATACGTCCAGACAGCAGCTATGCCTCAACCACAGTTTATTTGATAGGAAAACATATATGTTGATTTAATAAAGATCTAGGATCCCCCAAGAAATTTAATCTCTACTGTGTTCACAAGCTTTTACGGACAAATAATATCTCTGCTACAGAAAATCTTAGATTGCTGAAAATCATCAGGGTTCATCCTTTCCGATTCTGATTCAACGGAAGGTCACAGAACGATGAATATCAATAGGGTTTTGTCGGATCAACTTCATCCACTCATGACCTAAACTCCTCAAACCAAATTTGGGAAAAATTATGTTAAAAACTGAAGCCTCAACCGCGTTAAGTCTTTTATGGCTACAGCTTGTTTTAGTTCTACTATTGCTGAGATTGCAGAAAGATTCTAGTATCACCCTCTCCAATAAATGAGGCACTTTTGTTTGAAATCTTCGCTATATGTTCCATATTTTCAATTACTTAAAAATGGAAAGGCACTCTTTCTAAGCATTTTGATGGCATTGATACCCTGTCTATTCATGAAGCGTGCCTTTGTCAGAAATCCTTACAAAATTAATCTTACCATTGCATTCAAGTAGAATTTGGATGGCTCAAGAAATGGGGTTTAACATCCACTTGACACAAACTTGGTCATTTTGGTACTCACATATTATGGTCTCACTTGTACGGAGCAAGGCAGTATTTTGAACCCCAATACTGGACTGTTAGAACTCCCCGAGTCCCTTCCACCAGTCCTCCAAGCATATGTATTTTATTTTCAGTGTAAAAAGTATCCACTCGACACAAACTTGGTCATTTTGGTACTAACATATTATGGTCTCACTTGTACGAAGCAAGGCAGTACTTTGAACCCCAATACTGGACTGTTAGCGCTCCCCGAGTCCCTTCCACCAGTCCACCAAGCATATGTATTTTATTTTAAGTGTAAAGATAGGTTGCCAGGCAACGAAACATACGCCCACAACAGCTAAATCGTCCGGGCAGTCAACAAGAGTTGTCGCATGTTTTTACTTTTTTCGGTAATGAAACATTTATAATACACTAAACTCTGATTAAGAGCAACAACTCACGAAGTAATTATCAGAAAACTATTAGAATTTGTTTGGTTTTTATAAATTTCTGCCTCATACTAACATTTTGTATACAAAGCTTTTAATATCATGGATTTAACTGTTCAAGTCATAAAAATTCATTGAAGTCAATCAGATGATAACTTTAGCCTTTAGAGCGTCACAAGATTTTGCAAAGTGATCAAGGGCCATAACTTGGCAGTAATTATCGAAAATCATTGAAAATCAATAGGCTTCTTCGTCTCATGACCTTAACCACTGTCTATAAATTGAAAGTCAATCGGCCTCTTTGGCTTCTAGAGCGTCCACAAGATTTTTCAAAGTGATCAAGGGCCTAACTCTGGCAGCAAATATTGGAAATCGCTGAAAATAAATAGGCTTCTTCGTCTCAAGACCTTAAACACTGTGTATAAATTTAAAGTCAATCAGATATTAACTTTAGCCTCTAGAGCTTGTGGACGCCAGACCGATGGACTGCCGGACGGACGACAATATACGACCACATTTCAATGTGGGCGTATAAAGAGTATCTTTGCTGACAAGACATTTATTCACTTTCATGCCTTGGTCAATTTTTACTTTTTACCACTTGGCCCCTTCATTGTGTAGTAATTTGTTCACTTTCATAAATTTTTAAACCATTAAAAAATTCAAATCTATATATTACATAGTTGAAAAAAAAACCCAAAGAATAAGAAATTATAACAGTGAAATTAAGTGGCAAAGTTCATTTGTCCTGCCCATTCTACGCCATTGTTTATGTACCATTTACAAGATCTTAATGATTAGTCCAGTCAATTTATGATTTTACCCCCAACAAATTGCAAGAAAACGTTTTTATACATTTTTGCATTTTTTTTAGGTATACTTTATAAAATTCCAAAAGTTTACCAAATTCTGTGCATGTAAAAGAAAACCATAAAGGTTTGATTTACGACCCTATAAGTGTAATATGAGCATGTAAATTAATGTTTTGTAATATGAGCATGTAAATTAATGTTTTGTGAGTCATTCTTGGATTTGAAGATATATCCGGTGTTGTTCACTGGTTCCTTAAAGAGGTAAAATCTGGTACAATCCAAGATGGCTGACATTTGCCTAACCAATGTACATAAAGAAATCTAAACAGTTGAGTTTTAATGTATAATGGACATATAAATTAATGCTTTTGGGTCATTCTTTCATATCAGTTCATACCCAGTGGTGTTAACTGATCCTTTATACTACCGCTCTAGACGCCCCCCCCCCCCAAATCAGCGACCGAGAACCAAAATTTACGAATAGGCTTTACCCTACACTGCTTCATCATAATATAGGACCTTTAGTATCTGAAGTAAGGTCCTAAATGGAAAGCGGTAAAATGCAAGACGGCCAACATTCGCCAAATCAATGTACAAGAAAATCTTAAATTTTAGGTTTAAGACCCTGTAAGTGTAATATGAACATAGGGCCTATAAATTAATGTTTTTGGGGTCATTATTTCATTTGAAAATATATCCTCTGTTTTTCACTGGTTCCTTAAAATGGTAAAATCTGGTAAGATCCAAGATGGCTGACATTTTGCCTAACCAATGTACATAAAAATACATAAAACAGTTGGGTTTTAACACCCCATTAATGTATAATGGATATATAAATTAATGCTTTTGGGGTCATTCTTTCATATGTATGGGGTCATACCATTTGACTGCCATTTCTGATCATCTCTTTAACAAAAATTTGCCCCCCCCCCCCCCCCAAGCAATGATCTCAAAGGCCAGGATATTCAGGGAGTTAGCCCAGTCCCAAATAATTAAAAGCTCAGTTATGCATTGCGCTCAATTCTATTATGGCATCATTCTTCCACTCCTCTGTGGTCTAATACTATCTTATCACAATTATACGACGGTTATAGTGAACCACCCAGTTGGTACCACTTTCCGGTACTCTAACATTGGTAAACTTTTGGGATGTCATTCAGTACACCCACACCTAACAAAAACCATCAAAACACCTTTTCTTGCAATATTTTGAGGGTTAACCCCCTTTTTTTCATGAATTGACTGAACTAGATAGGGACTTTTGGTTTGCATACCTATAATTTGGGATTTGGCTATACATTTGTTTAGACTGGTCAATAGTGAAATACTGATCTCAAAATTATTCAATTCGGTCAATCCTAGTTAAAGTTACTGCCCTTTGAAATTTCTATACTGCTATTTGTATGCTTCTGTTATGGTTTTAACTGTATTATTTTTCTTCGGCTAGAATAACCAAGCCTAAAAAGATGCATATTTCAAACTTTTGGACAGGGCACATTCTGTTTATGGTTCATTGTGCTTTTGGTTCAAGCCAACAGAAAACAGTCTGAGGAAAGTAAAATAACACCATCAAGTCTGCATGTGTCTAATGCGGGATTTATGCTGTAGGAGATTATCCTCTAGATAAATGTATTATAGGCTACTGCTTATCTCTTTATATTTAAATTTTTATTCTTCATAGCCCTACAAATTATCTGTCCAATATTAATGACAATCAATAGATTTTATGTAAACTATTAAATCCTCAAAATTTTTCACCTTGACTTTACGATTTTGTGAAACGAAACAGGGTTTTAACATCCTACTGTTCTGTTCTGACTGGGCTAAAGAAGATGGGCATATGCCATACAATGTGCTATGACGGAAATTTTACCTGGACAGCGGCACTATGGCCTACTTTTATATATCAAATTCCAACTGGCAAGGGATCTTTTAAGGGCATTTTAATGTGTTCACAGGACCTCGGTTTTTCGTCTCATCCGAACGACTATACATTGTCCTGCACCACTAACAAGGGGGTACCACACCATAAAGTCCTGATGAACTATTTTGGCCAACACAGAGTTTGACCTCCAGGTTAGCGAGCCAACGTCTTACTCACTGGGCTACCGCATCTCCCCAACAATTTTGTATTTCCCACTTTGGCATCGTAGTTAAACATTCATTATTCATTATAGTAACTATCTAAAATTACTGAAAATCAAAATAGATTTATGGTTTAATTTTAGTGTGTCCTACAGATCAGCAGGTAAGTTGAGAAAAGATTATATTTCAAAAGCCCAGAAATGTTTTCTAAAAAATAAAAATAGGAGTTTGATTGTTTGAATTTAATTTAATTCAGTTTGCGAGAGGCTTTTTCATAACATTGAGCATAAACACACACAGCTTGAGGTCCTATGGACAAACTGGATGTTCAAATTGAAGATCTATGTCTGTTGGAATTTGAACCATAGATATTAGAAATACAAATTACTTTATGTTAATCTGACAATAATCTAGGTAAGTGTCAATGAGTATGTTAAACCTTATTTTTTCCATTCCTGAGGATGGAGGGGAAAATTGGCTTCTTTTTAAATAACCAACAAAAAAAAAAACCCACCCAAAAAAGAGACATGGGCGTAAAATCATTTACTTTCCCTTCTTTTGAATAACTAAAAAATACACACACCCCAAAAAAGCAACTTGGATGTAAAATCATTTGTACAAATGTTATTTTACTTGTTTTAATACTTTGAAATTTAAAAACTCAATATGGCACATTTTAAATTTTTTGGAATTGATAAAATAGAACTATAGATAAATGAGCTCTTGTATCTGCTTTTATCAGTGTAAAGAAATTATATCAGAACAACAATATATGCATAAACTAAATTATACTTCTCAGCTCTTATTTGTCTATAATTTCAAATAATGAACATTTTTATGGTTGCTTATTTAAATTAATTACTAGTTTTGGTTAAAATGTTTGGAATTTGGTTTTCAACATAGAATGAATTATAAATAACATTACAATTTTGTATGGTTAATTTTCTGATACTTGCACTACATT